TGAGCGAAGTGGTTGATACTTTTGTGGGATAGGGCTGGAGTGGACAATTCTCTGTTTCGGCGCCTAGGTTGGGATAAGCGTCCAGAAGGGATGGGACCTCTTGGATCTCCAACGCGAACCGAGATCGGCGATTTAGGTTTTGAGTCCCGCCAGCAGAGGCTCGAGAATGGAACACGTGGCAGCAATGCGATGGCAGGACGTCGCGCGCACAGCAGTTGGAGCATTCCCGGAAACGAATTCCTGGGAGATATCGGAAACGGCTGTTGATGTATGCATTAGCAGAGCCTACAGATAGTCTCGCTGGAATACGCACAATTAAATCAGCTGTCATCAACCCCGCCACATGGCGTGGTACAATACGGTGTCTGACTGCACGATGATAGCTACCACCTGTCCATCTTGGCCTTCCCGGTTCGGGTGAAGGATATTTGCGACATGATGAGTTGCACGACCAAATTCCAGGTGAGTGATGGTGGTGGTTTCTTCAGACTCGGGCCGTGCAATAGATGTACAATGGATGCGAGGGGTTCCTCACGGTGTTCTGTGCGATGAGGCCCGGTAAGAACATCAAGGTAAGACACAGACAGGTAGAGGAGAACCAGGAGAGGACTCATGGATAAGATTCAGGGCCAATGTGGTCCGAACACAAGCTAGACCCAGGCGATCAGTTAGTTCATAATGTGAACACTTTTCTCAATAACGAGAATCTATTCCCAGGCATAAGTTAGGACAGCATAGGACGGTGTTTTGCTACGTTGCGAGGCCCAATGGAAACGACCATCGCGAGTGGACCGTAGACTCACAAGGACTGCAACATGGTGGGCGCATTGGGAAAGTGGTCATGCGGCAAAAGGCAAGAGGCAATCCCGGGGTGCCGTACACAGACCATCGGTGTTATGCGGCCCTTGAGAGTCCACCGATTCCCTTTGAACGGTTTTCTGTCCGCAATGAGAACACTAACCCTATCACGTATTTATGTAGCCCCAAAACAACTCGAACGTAGTACTAGATAGAGCCTCAGATGAGGTACTAGAGGTGTTGTTTGACGGTAAAGTGCTAAGCTAGGAGACCCTTTTTCTTGGCCTGCCAACAGTTATCATTTTGCAAGGGAGCTGCACCGAGTCAGACGAGAGTTCAGAACAAGTATAGTGTCGCCTGAATGAGCACTTGTTGGATTCGAATATGAGGAAACGGAGCCACAACTGTTGGGTGAAACTTTCAGCACATAAGACGAAGTATACAAGACATGCCTTCGCTTCGCTTCGGCATAGGTATGCTCTGCAACATGTCTAAAATAACCAATCACTCGTTGTTCAGAAGTTACTCATGACTGCACATCCCGTACTCAACATCTTCCGAACAGGGGTGGACAACAATTCCATTCGTTTGAGGTGGATAGAGAATTAACCTGTGGAACCTGTGTAGATTTGGGCAAAACCGAAGTACAGCGATGACACATTCAGAAGAGCAATTTATTGACGCAACATGTCTACATACACATACTTCAGCATCAAGAAGGTCAAGTCGGAAACATCGTGCGAGATATTGGTGATCGGTGGACGCGTCGGAAACCTACTCACAGTATGGCGTGACACAGCAGCGAGAGAGTAGCCCAATCCAGGGTTCATTAGAAGCGTTTCCGAGACACGTCTGGAGGAGATGCAGTGCTTATAGGACACTGGAGTTAAATTGGGCAGTGCGAAAGAAAATACAGTTTTGATAAAAGACTCACCAGGGCATAGTATCTCTCTCTTGCCGAGCGAGCAAAAAAGATTGATGCCACGGATGTGGGCCGTTCGCACGAGCCAGAAATTTGAATTTGAAGGTTTGTAAGGTGCTGGGTGAAAGGAAAAGTGAACGCTGAATCAGGAAAGGTCAGGATGAGCAAAATATACCGGAAACACGTAGGGTTCTTTGCAGGAGCGCAAAAAATCAGATCCGAATTTCCGTGAAACCCTGTACGACACAAAGGCGCGGGTATTTGCAAAGCAAGAGGCGGTGCCAATCTCACCTGGTGGATATGCGAAGTGTTCCAAGGTATGAAGGTGGGACAGACATTTGAGAAGGCTGGCTTAAATTGATTTGACTGTGAGCATGACAACCTTCTTCGTCTCTGTCCACCGTCAAGCAGTACACCGGCGTATGTCGAACTGCTCTGTCATGATTGTTCAGCTTCTCAGTCGAAAGGCATGTCTAGATGCATACCGTTGTATGTCAAACCTGTTTCCAAAATAATGAGCAAAGTTCAGTTGTTGCGCGGCATATGCCATACCAGTGCCTCAAGTAGGGAGTTAAAATGTGCGAGATGGCGAACACGATGAACGGCACATGGACAGCTCTCAGCATTAGACATAACTCGAGACGTTGCCCTAAGTGATCTTGCGAGGCTTGAAGAATGTTTCAGAGCGCTCCCGGATCCTTGCATCTGAAACTTGAGCAGTCTGGTGAGGTACTTGAGTGTTTTGAGGAATCCCGAGGTCGTGGATTATCATAACGGTCCCTTGGGTGTTCCATTCTTGGGAAATATTGTGCTACCCTGGCTTTGAGCTAGGCCTTAACTATTTGATACTCGACAGGTCGTTGGGTTTGACGGTTGCGAAGTCTTGAGGGGCTTTGTTGAGTGTTGAAGCACTAATTGAAGCGGGAAGAATGCTGGGGCCCGGGTGATGATGGGGTAAGAGCGAAAGGTAGTGATTTGACGGACACTTCCCTTTTGAGTGGGCCTTGAGCCCACGAAAAAATGGCCCTGTGATTAGTCTGCAGAGCTATCCAGAGCTCATCTAGCAATTCGGAGCCAAGGTGGGGAACGTTGTTTGGAAAGCAGACCCAAATCGAAGTGATTGCAAACATGTGCATACTAATTGGAGGCATCTGCTTAATATATAAGGTATGAGAAAGCCGGCAGGAAAAAAATACAATGAAAGCAACACACCATGGAGTTCGGCATGCAATTCAGACATAACTTGTTGCTGGTTCTGCTAGGATAACGGAAGGGCTGAATAAAAAATAAAAGATGAATCTGATACCAATCTGAGAAGTTCGGGAATTCGCGAGCGCCCAGTGGCGTTCGAAGAACAAACATGTACATTGTGATACGAGGCATCTGCTTAATATATGAGGTACAAGCGGCTGCTCGGCCGCTTCGCGGCCTCGCATCCCCTTCCTCTGGTGTGAACTGAAACTGTAGAACAAAGTTGTATTGTGTGAAAAATCCAATGAAAATAAATTCAAATCACAGACCGAGCGTTCAAGACAACCCATTTTTCTAGACTTGCGAGGCTGTACATGTCAAGCGACGGTCGGAACGCGGCCGCAGCAGGCACGGCATGAGTGGAAACAGAGAGCTCGACGAAAAAGGTTAGAGCTGATGGCGGAGTTCGAAAAGGCTTCAGACATGCTTAATTTTATAAAGAGAGAGATGTTTATCGAGCCACTGCCTGGCGAAAGATATGAAGAAGAAGAAAAAAACAGTTCGAACCGGCAGATTCAAACCGGCCCTGTCCGCCTAGTTTACGTCATCATTAAATTCATTAGATCGAGGTCTTAAAAAGACTTCAAAAATCTAATGAACACTGCCACTATTTCTTTACATCGTCAAAACGCACTGATAAAGTTTCGCGAACTCAAAAACCTGGTCTCGATTATGAAAAGAACGATCACTTTACTACGTAAAGTACTCGTAACAAGCGAGGTACGAGCTCAAGTATGTTGAAGCGTCTGCCTAGGGGAGACTACGTCACATAGGGCTGCACGCCGTGCCCGTCGCGCCGGTTCTACGGGGTCCGGCGACGGGCATGCCGTCCCGTTCCGTGGGCTCTTTGGCTGCATTCAAGCTGCATTTTTGACGGCCATTCCCGTCGAAAACGGCCGTCGACGGGTCGACGGGTCATGAAAACGCGCCGTAAACGGTTAAATATGCCATGTACGCCTTTTATGAGGCATATTCTGTGCAAAGGCAAGCCCAATACACAATTTAGGGCACATCATCTTATGAACTTAATTGTGAGTTTAAACAGGCGAAATGACGGCCGTCGCGTGACGGACCGTTCCCGTTCAGGTCCCGTCGAAACGACGGCCGTGCCCGTCACGCACGGGCACGGCGAACAGCCCTACCGGCGTCACTGCACCCTCCTCTTTGTTCTTGACCACGACGTCGCGAGTTCAAGCAGGAGAGAGCCCGTTCGACTCGGGCTCGGGCCATTCGAAGTGAGGGCAAATCTTTTTAATTTTGCGAGCGGGTGTCTGCTTAAGTACTGAGTCCTTGTATGTTAGCCGTGGGCGCCTATATCTCGTTCTTGGCGGCGGAATGAGGGAGCTTCCGGCCCAAATTCGCCTCGTTGAGCCCACAACGCAGCATGAAACTATAGCTACCCACACCGGCAAGATCAGGTGCGCATGAGACCGCGGAGAGGCTCGGTGGTGGGTGGTTCACGCCTGCTCTGAATGCGAAGAAAACGATGCACAGATGAGAGCAGGAGAGCGCCCGTTCGACTCGGGTCCGAGCCATAGAATGCCACTGCAGAGAGTGTTTTTGTAATTTTGGCGACGCCTCGGCCAGTAAGTTGGGGCACGGTCGTATGTCGACCGTCGCAAGTTAGACTTGCGTCTTGCCTCATGTTATTTTTGTGGAAAGGAAGACTTCGCACCCGCAGTGCAAGCCCGATGAAACCTAAAGCAAGATCCAGTGTACAACAGATCTAAGAAGGCTCGGTGGTCGGGGGTCCACAGCGCAAACCGATGCATATGTGGTAGCAGTGCGCCTGTTCGACTCGGGCTTGAGCCATAGAGTGGTGGTTTTCACGGCTTTTTTGTTGTCCCAGTTAATTTTTCGAGGGCAGAGTCTGCTCACCGATTCGTCAAGGGAATGCTGGGCCTATCTTTCATCCCTTGTAAACCGTAATATTTCTGACAAAATATGGGAGTTTCCGACCCGACTTCTCCCCCCAATTCGCCCTGGGAAAACCATCCACGCAAAATCAAGTGCGGAACAGCACTAGGATGGCTCGGTGGTGGAGGGTCCATGCCAGCTTCGAATGATCTCTGTCGCGTTGCAAAGAAGTTCAAGCAGGAGAGCGCCCGTTCGATTCGGGCTCGAGCCATGCGTAAAGAAATGAGTTATTTTTCTTACAGATAATTTTGCGTGGGTGGCGTCTCCAACTGATCAGTTAGGCATGCCGCGTCCACAACTATATTTCAACTCGAAAGCCCAGCCCGATTTCTCATCCACAATGCGACCCGAAACCAACTAACTTGAAATTTTTTCCGGGTATAAGTTGCGATTGTTTCTCAACTGCGAGGCCTGTAGGTTTAGCCCAAGCTGACCGTTGAACGGTGTGCCTCATCGGCTTTGCAGCTTGCCATGGGATTCGATTCTGTGCGGAAAGAAATTTTTCAAAAAATTGTCGAACTAACTCAAGTGCACGGTGGACATCGGAAGGCTCGGTGGTGTGTGGTCCATGCTCCGAATAGCCGAGTCTTGGTCATTGCGTAGATTTAAGCAGGAGAGCGCCCGTTCAACTCGGGGCCGAGCCATGAGGCAAGCGTCTTCCTTCCTTTTTTGGGCGATCCTCGCCTATGTTCAACCCTTGAAAGTTAGTATCATGCACTTAATTCCTTCCTTCCTTATAATTATTCGTTGTGGAAGGAAACCAAAAGAAAATTCCGATCCAACTTTCAAGTTCGCGCTTGCACTGCATGGAACCCATATTCATAGTGAATGAGATGCGCAACAGACGTAGGAAGGCTCGTGTGTTGATTCGAGCAGGGGAGCGCCCGTTAGACTCGGGCTCGGGCCCTGGCAGCGTTCACATGTTTGTTTTTTTGTTATTTTTCGTTTCTTATCACTGTCGTTCTCTGCAACTTAAAACCTACTCACACAAGATCAACTGTGTAACGGAGCTGGGGAAGGTTCGGAGGTGGAGGGTCCACGCCTGCGCCACATTCACGCGATATGAGGGAGTTCAAGCAGGAGACCGCCCGTTCGACTCGGGCTCGGGCCGTGGTGGCGTTCACATCTAACTTTTTAAACGGCGAGGCATTCTTTTTTGTTTGATGTAACCTAAAACCTACTAACACAAGATCAAATGTGTAACGAAGCTAGGGACGACTCGGTGCTAGAATGCTCCCCATGCTCGCGGAGAAAGCATTAGAGTAGGCGACTGCCCGTTTAACTCGGGGTCGAGCCGTGGCAAAACAAATCACCACCTTTTTTCGTGTTCATTCTGGGTGCCTGGTGTCTGCACCTACATCAGCAAACCCTGATTTTCGCTGTAGTGCCGGTAGCAAGCCGGTAGTTACTGTAGCACCGGCCCGATCACGTAGCGTCACTGTAGCAGAGCTGTGCATTCTGTAGCACCACGCACTGCGCCTTCACTATGTAGTGCTACGTAGTATGGCCAATTCTACGTAGCACTGCGAGAAATTTTTCATTCTATGTACTCGCAAAACATTTCCACTCCCAAAATTCTTCCCAATTCTTGACTCAAAAAGCAGCGCGTCCATGGGTGAGTCACCAACCTCGTGCTCTGTGACAGAACGCGCCAAAATTGGCCACTTCTCCATGCGTCACCCCAGTCCGCATCCCCTCCTCCACGCAAAGCCGATCCGTCCGCCTTCACCTTGCCCTATGCCATTACGGCCCAGCGCCACCCGGCGCGGCGGTGATCACGGTGCTATGTAGCACCTTCTCTTGCCACTGGTCGTTCGGGGCCGCTATACGGTACCCGTTGAACGGGTTCCGTGGCCCTCCCGTCGATCTTTTTTTTCCTCATGCAACGGCCCGTCAAATGACGGCCGCGACGGCCGTTTCAACGGGTCATAGAAATCTATCTTTAAACTGACACTTTCCATCATTATTAGTCCACAGAGACTTCTGTCTTGGAAGGGATAGACTTTCCTGCTTGCCTTACATTTTGCTGGCTCCACACAGACGGTAAATTACTTGTGTTGGGTTCTCGGCAACTCCCGATCATGATTGCCGACGTGCAACCTCAAGGTTTGGATCGGTTTCTCTAGCTAGAAGCACGAAAACATCAGGGTGGGCAGGTAGGGATTAAACTCATGACATTGCAGTCCTAATCCACATTTTGTTAGGGTCAAAAGGCAAGCTAAAGTTTAAATTCCCACCCTACCCGTCGAGACGGCCGCGACGGCCGTCCCGTCGCCCGTCCCGTCCCGTCAAGGCTTCGGGAAGAAGAAAAACGGCCGTCGAATCGACGGCCGTTGCCGTCACGGCAACGGGTGGCAGCCCTAGCTGCTACTGGAAGCTTGAGCTTATGAATAATCTTTTCCAGCATTCAGTTACTTCTCTAGCAGTGTTTGTGAAACTCGGTACAATTATATTCATGATTGATTTAATGAAAGAACATCGTGTTTGAGGAGGCGAGAGATACACAGGAGCAGGCATGGAGGGAAGAAATTTGAGCAAAGAGTGACGGGCATATGGCGTTCTGTAGGACTACGTCGACAGGTGTGCGGCATGAATGGTCGGAGCCAGTGTCTTGCAGGGTGCTGAGCCGTCGCTCGAGCAGTCAGTACGAGGCATTTGATAGTCAGTATCGGGTCGTAGGCATACAGAGGGGTCAAGTAGTCCCATAACGAGTCGCAATGCGCTCTCAGAGTGTTCACAGTCTATGCACTGCCATTCGCTCCTCCGCCCGTGTCTCCCTGCGCTCGAGCTGCCTCGTGCGCACACCACTTGTCATGCTCCTTGCCCGCGCCTCCCCATGCAACACTGCTCCAGTATCACACTGCCGCAGCTCCGGGGCTGTGTGTCATGCGGCGGACACGAACGTGTACTATCCCCCCCCACAAACCTAGAACTCGGACAAACCAACATTTCTCCTCCAATACTGGACCGTTTCTTGAGTTTTTTGGCGTAAAATGAACGTCAGGATGTTCCCTAGAGATCTAGACCATTGCGATCTTATATCCTTAGGATATATATCACTGCTAAGAGGTGACGACTCTTGTGATTTTCGCTCATTTTGCGTATTTTAAGGCTCTGCACCATCCTCTTAGGGTCATATTGCCTAATGAGCGCATCCAGAAGATGCCTTAACATCACAAGAATGCCCATATGAAAATTCAGAGGCATAGCTGTCTTGTAGCTGTCAGAACGGAACGAAAGGTCACCCCATGCCTGCCAAATTGATCTCTTAAATACGAAAATGATGGCTAGAAATTCCCTGCTGCCTGTCGACCACTGTGTGGGTGCTTTGCCCTCCCCCCCATCCATAATATACTACCTATTGAGGTACTCCACCCTATGAAGTTTGGAGGCACCACAACCATGGGGCGGTCATATAGGGAGCCAGCAATCAGAATTTGACGTGTTACCTAGTACTCGGACACCTAATCACCTCCGAAAAATCGACGCCGTTTGCCCAATTCTTACTCGTTTCCTACCAAGTAAAACTGAAACTGGGGTAAAAGACAAATTACCGACGATCTAGGTACTCAGCCTGAGCCCAAACCCTCTGGATAAAATGATATCACAAATTTTGCTTAGGTGTCCAAGTACTAGGGGGGGATAGTATGGTATCGCCAGCATACAGCAGCGATGTGCTGAGCCTGGAGCTGTCACCCGCACGGAGCTGACCCCACTGTAAGGTCAAGCGGCAGCACTACATGGGTGCTACGCCTGCAAAAGCCCCATTGGGCAGAGCATGAATTTACACTGTGCACACCACATGTACCTCCTTGCATTATATAAAAGGCCAGAGAGTCTGGCCGTAAACTCGATGGCACCGGGTGAATCTTAGGCGGAATGGGTTGAGATTGGGAGGGCAGGTTGGGGAGGTTAGTATGTGCCTGCTTGCCCGAGATCGGGCCGGTGCGGGTCGTGGTTCCCTCCAAATAAGTGTGTGTGCTGTCTTTTTCCGTTCGGAGGCCCAGAACAAGTGGCCATGTCCTGGCTCAGCTGCCGGTGGCTCCAGCGATTGATTTTAAAAAATTTGGAAAATGAAAAGTGAAAAGAAAAAAAAAAAAACCTGTCTGATCTGACATTCTTTATTATCTACGTCGTTGCTAGGTGCACTGAGAAATATCGTTGGAAGGCGGCGGGGATTAGTGTTTATTGAGTGGCACTGGGTGGCGCAGACCCACTAAACGATTCAGAATGCTGCTAGGGACATAGCCATCTGCAGATGGTCCGCAGATGAGTTTAGTCATGTCTGAAACCTCAAGCATTTTGTTCAGTTCAAGACACCCTCAGATGAGAATCTATGCTTCTTGTTTCATTTTCCTCTGGGCTTAATTCAAAATCTAAAGTATCAACAGGCATATCGACTGACCGGATACCTATAGTTTTGGCACTCACTTCAAGACCATTTATTCCTTATTTTTTATATTGCATTTCATCGCCAGTAAAAGGTAGGGCAATACTTGAAGTTCCATGGACATTTATTTGGATTTTCATAGATTAGATTGGAGATTAGATTTTGTTAAGTCCCAAATCAGATATATAAAATTGAGTTTTCCGGCCAATTTATGTGTATGAAGATACTTTAAAAAGTGTAGCTAACTTGAATTGAGGAACCGGCGGTGTGATTGCTTCTTCGAGCGGAGGGATAGCGGGCAGCGTCCAGCGAGTACCCCCTTAATCTCGGCTCCAGATCTTTACAGGGATAGTTGGGGCAGCAAAATCAAAAAATCAGAGGCAGCCATCACCCCGTAAAGATCTGGTGCAGTTTGGTCGAGAACCTTGTGATTGCTCTTATTGGTCACACATGTCACAGTGGGTGCTCAGGCAAGTTTTGACATTCACTGCGTTCAGACCCTCCCTGCACAGAGGCTTGGTTCAGGTACCTACGCAGACCTCTACAGATCGCTCTGTGTAGGTGGCTGGACAGGCTCTGTGTAGCTCTGTATAGCTCTGGGCAGGTCAGTGTATGTCAGTGCATGTCAGCGTAGGTCAGTGTAGGTCGTGGTAGGTCTGTGTAGTCATCTCCACAGGATTAAGATACTGTAACAACAACTGCTGCGGATGTTGAGCTGGCAAGAGAAACTCTTGTCTGTGCGGCTCTGCGGGTGTACCTACCCTCACTACACTGACATATACAGACTCTGCGTAGTTGTCTACGCTTCAGCTACACCCAGC